TGTTTAATATAAAAAGCTTTAATAAAACAAATTGTGTTTGTAAGAATAACAATGTTGTTATTTTATCAGGACAAAGTAAATATATCAGTGATACAATACCAATTCATGTTTCTTTGTAAATATTATTCTATAACTTTCAATAGGTGGTATATCAAAAGGAGACTTGAAAATCCTTAGGGACTAAAAGGTTGGACATTTTTTTGTATTCTTCTAGTTTTCTGAATAGTTTGACAATGAATTGAAAAAATATAAATGGCATTTTTAACACTATGCTTACAGTTACATTGTTAACGTAAATGATTGAAAATCAATAAATTGCCATCTAAAAATGTCTATACAACTTACTGTTAATATGTATATTACATAGATTACGTATGATTGTAATTATTTAAAAGAAAAGAATACCTATAAAAATTTTAAAGTAAAATACTTGTGTCATAATAATAATAAATGTTGACTGTATGTGTTAACTGTTAATATACAAAGACAATTTCAGATACATATGATTAGAGGGAAAGTTAATAACTGGATATTATTGTACATTTGTTCGTGTACCTATAAAACGAACTAGAAATCTTAAAATTAAAAATAATAAGTATTATATCTTTAACATTAATAACTGCAGTATTAAATATGTAATATAACAAGATGCTTACCTGAATAAATCTACTGAAATCATAATCTTCACTTAAAATTAAGGGTATCATTAATAAGCCTACTTTAAACACTTAAATAATTTAGGTTTCAATTAGTTCCGGTTACTAGATATTAGACTATATAAACTGCATGTAGGTAATATGCATTTTAAATTTTATCTCATGTATAATATTATATAGTCACATTAGATCAAGAATTTAAACCTGAATTAACCGGGGTCCTTGACACCTTTAATAATCTAAAATGTATAAGCTAATACAACTTAAGGCTTGAATAATCTCGAGTGATTAAACAGTCAAATTAACCAAAAACCTAGTCCTTACTGCTAACGCTTAGTTAACATAAAATTTGAAAACTAACACAACCCAACATTTTGGTTATAATTTTTGTTTCTTGACGATGAAAAAATATTGTCAGTTTATTAACATAGTAGTTTTAGGGATCTTTTGGTTATACTAAAGGTAATACTTATATTATTTAAATATATTAGTATGTAGTTCTTATGTTAAGGCTAAAAGTAACTAATTATACTTATATATTAAAATTTTTGTTCTATTTACATTACTTTTACCAGATTGCATAAACAATTACTAAACATTTAATAAATTGTGAGTGAACTAATAGTCCTTTAAATATGATTATTATAATATATATACCTATATATGTTAATAATATATTGGTAACCTGTAAAGGTACATTGATTTTTTATTGTCATAAAAAACTTACTAATTTGTAAATTTGTTTCTATTTTCAATGTTGGTTGTGTATCAGAACTCGACATTTTAAATCTTAATTTTTTTTATATTTACAATTAAAACTGAATAAAGATTAACACTGTATATATGTATGTTTGATAAGTAGAAAAATCTTTGTTTCATATTTCTTTGAAAATTATTAAATATGTATACAATTTATAGTTTAATACGTAATAAAAAATTCTCCAATTATAAATATAATTTTTATCATGGGAGGATTTCACAAAAACTGTTTTTTTTTTTAATATTTACTACACATTTTATCATAACTTTGAACCTAATCGTCGCTTTATAATATTCTATATTGAGTTATTGAATAAAACAGTTGAAGTTAATAAATTTATTAATTGTGAGCTATTAAAGCATATTAGTTGGGCATAACACTTTTGTATTTTTGGAAGGGTATAGGCTCTATTTATCTAAACTTCTGATTCGAAGGGGGATCAAGCACGACATTTGAAGTAGACATAACTTATTTGTTGCATTTGACCGATGATATAATTATTAACAAAATTTATTTGTGTAAGTGTAGATTTTTTTTTCTTTTTCGTATCGAAATCAAGAACTCTCTTGAATTTTTTATTCGTGAAGCGTGTGTACGTCTGAACCACTCTTAATCAGATCGCGTGTTATAATACGATAGCTGCACATAATAACAATAATAGTTTCTACCTATAATAATGGCGATTAATTGCACTCTACGTGCAACACTGCAGACCTACAGGCAATTCCGAGCATATGATTGTCGATTAAACAAAAAATGTTATGCGTTTTCTTAACGAGCACACGATACAGATATCTGTGATACATTTTACGTGTGATATATTACAATATAAATACTTAATATTAGAGTATTACTGTCTACTTGTGTCTCAAATTGACAAGATCCGGTAACTTGCGTCCGATTACTTTAGAGTTTTAGACGGAACTTGAAAATCGGTTCAATTACTTAAATAAGAAAAAGTTGTGTCTTGATCTATTTTCTTAATATAATTTTATTATTTATAGAAATAGTTATCGATGAATTGATAAGTTTAAGTTAATTTTGATTTATTAACGTAACGTATACTATTCATTTTTTTTAAATAATAATAAATCTTAACAAAGAGTAAAAACTGAATAATAAAATAAGATAAAACTAATTTAAAATTGTTAAATTAGTATCATAAAAATTGCATAATATGTACTATATTTCTATTTATAATATTTACAATTTAATACTCTGGAGAAAATATGAAATCAAAATTAGGTACACATATTTTTATAATTACCTGCACATGTATATATTTCGATTTTAAATTAATTAAAATTTTGATCATTTTTATTTTATTTTAGTACTTTTTTTCTACTAATATGTAAAAACGTATATGTATAAAATATTGATTTATGTTATTTTGGCATGTTTGTTGGTGGCACATTAACCATTATTAAAATAATATATATAATAACATTTTCTCGTTTGAAACGCAAATAACTTATTGATACACAAATTTTATGACTGGTGGCTTGCGTCCAAATCACTGGGATTCATCTCACATTCTTACCTGCCATCATAATAGAATTTCTTTTAAACTATATTATTTTTGAAACTCAATTAACCGCAAAAAACAGCTGTTATAATATTAAATATTATATTATTGCACATTATATAGTGTACGTTATAAAGCGTTGAACATTATGATGTACATAGTACCTAATACAATATAATTTTAAGACTAATTTTAAATAAAAAAATCATTATAAGGTTCAATTAAACAGATTCATAAACATTTAGATGTTCTTCCATTTATATCACTTATACGTGATAAATGCAATATATTATTCATTAACCCCCCCAAAAAACATAGTGAATTTTTCTCAAATAAGAGAAAATATAACATCGACATGCCAGTAAATTATACAAAAAAAAAAAAAGAAATCTAGCAAATCTTTCAAATTATTTTAATCAACGGTATTTCAGAAAAATATTCATTGTAGCTTATTATTTATTAAATAGATAAAAAACAGTTTATAATTAGTCATTTTCTGAAACAATAACGTTTTAGTGAGAATGCGCATCTTAAAACGTTATTTAGTAAAATTAAATTACTTAACTGTATTCAAATACGAATAATAATAATTACCAACAAGTGTGTTGGAACTAAAATCATTTGACATTTTGTTTATGCTTTATTGTATTATTATTGCTCTTTGTAGTATTAATTTTATTTGTTTGTAATGCTTAACTTATTTAAGATTATTTTTTTCTATTATATTTCATTATTATTACACAATTCTATACTCCATCACAAGTTTAAGCTTAAATTGCTTAAAAGAGTAGATAAGAGTAAGATCTTTATCTATATGATGCATATTAAAATAAATAAATTTAAAAAAATTATATGCCTATATCATAATAAACTAATATATGCCTTACTCATCTTAGCTTTTGGTCTATGGGCGTGGAAAAATATTCATAATAATATGGCGTAAAATATAGTATTCTACATAAGTACATAAATTGAACCGTATTGGAGCGTGTTTGTAAACGGAGAGTGAGAATTCATTGCGATGTGTGGCGTTCATTTTATTTTTTACAGTTATTTATATATGTATATATGTTCACAAAATCAGAAACGAAACGCGTTCATCAAAGTACGAACGATAAATGAAGACCATTATTGTTGTAATAATAAGCAGAATATAATAATACGGTGACGGTACCTACCTATGAAGTTATGCGTTTACTGCAGTAGACCCTACCATAACCCAAAGTTTACAAAGTGAATATTTTATGGAACTCCTCATTACAAAATTTAATACACATACTTAATTGCACATCAGAAATTGTACGAAAAAGTAAGAACCAAATCTGCATATGTCCATTCACGGGCTACGCGTATCTATTTGTACAAAGATGCATCAGTCAATCGGATTTACGTAAAGTTTTATGTCTGTACAGACGATGATGACGATTTAATATCCAATATATTTGTTGCAGCGTAAAGATTTAAAAAACGTACACAAATACGTATAATCAGAGAATTACTTCGCGATTAAATTTTTTTTTTAGACTGAACGGCGCTGATTTGAAAGCTTACAAAATATCATCATTTTTTTTTCAGAAAAAATACAATTTTAATTTTTAATACACAATAAACTATAGATAAAATTATAGATACGATTTAATGGCAATGTTAACAAATTGATTTATGTTTGAAATTTACGGATTTTAAGACGTATAACATATTATTATCAATATTATAATATAACATTTACAGAGTACAAAGTGGGAATTTCCTTAAGCTCTCCTAGACCTACGCATGTGCATGGCGCGTAATAAATCAAAGTTATTGTTTCAACACATTATTACTTTAGACGACCTTCAATCAGAGATAATAAATTTATGATTTTCGGTTTTTTTTCAAGAGCCGAATTAAACGTCTAGTCGTTGGAATCAAGACTGTAGCTCACGGTACAGAGCAAGTGAGGGGGCGGGGAAGGTAAAATAAAAAAAATGAACGGCGAGTGCAAATCGTAAAATTAAATCACATAATATAGGTATTACGCACTTAAATAAAAAAATAAAAATAAAAAATATAAACTGACCTTTTGGACGCGGCCGGTTTGGTGGCCGGCCGTTTACTATCGTGCGTGGCCGGCAGCACGGCGTCGACGATGACGCTGGACGCGATGCTGCCCGTGCTATCGTCTTTTACCATGGTTCGCCGGACGGGCGGGGCGGGCAGTGCGCCGAACCCCTCGCGCGGCTGGTGGACGTCCAGCTGCTGCACGTTGAACGCGACGCCGGGCGCCGGCCGGCTGAACCGGTGGTACGCCGTGGCCGCGGCCGACTTGTGTTCCAGCGCCAGCCGGCTGGGCACCGTCGGCGGTTTGTCGCTCACGGATGGCGCCATGTACGACAGCATAATACAGTTGACTGGCATTCACCGCCGGCGGGTCGCAGTGTGGTGCGTACGGCTGCAGCTGCGAGTCGTCGTCGTCGTCGGACAGCGGCAAACCGTCTGCTGCAAACAGTCGCCAAAGCGAGCGATGATGACATTATTATTTTACATTATCAGACGTCGTGTTAGTAGGTATAGTGGCTGGTTCGCGCGAAAGGCGCGTTCGCGATTATCACACACAATTGCGATTAATTATCGCACACGCGGAGTTAACGCGCGTCAGAGCGTGTGTAAATACACATCGATTTGCAATAACGACGTGTTCTGTCGAAGCAACGTGCCTCGCCACGAGGAAAAAAAAAGGGTGGGTATAAACGCTCGCTCAATGGCGTAAAAAACAGTTTACCTAACGCTTTTCATGTGAGCTAGCCCTTAGGAACCATCGTCCGTACCAAGACTTTTATGATATTACATATATTTTTTAATGCATTCATTATCAACGACCAGTCACGCGCATAGATAACTATATGTTATACCGTATACGTAATAATAATTATTTTCCCTAAGAGCGGGATGCTTGTAAATTATTTTAATAACGAAAAAACGTATACGTGTTATTTAATGTTTATTTTTATTATTTTTATTTTCCCGATAAAATTTGATGCCAGTATAAAAAAAAAATTAGCGAAACGAACTATAGTGGGTAAGAACGTAATAAAAAAAAATATTCAAATTAAGTGGAATAATATTATTTTTATGTTTAATGTTTATTTATTAAAAACTAAAAAAAATAGTTAATTAATTAATCTTGAACAGTTTGGTGGGTTTGTTTTCTACATTTTTAAATGAGTAATCAGGTTTAAAATATCAGGTAGCCCCTAGCAAATATAAAATGTACGTAACAATTTATACAAAAATTTGTGTGCAAAAATGTGTAAATACTTCCGCCAACGATTTTCAGTAGCTGTAGTATTCTCGGAAATTGTGTACCTTTAATATATATCAGCCGTAATTATAGGCATCTCTAATTATAATTATATCATTATTATCCATGGAGTTTTACAGTATATTATACACTAATGTAATGTTAAAAATTATCTTTTTTTTTTAAAGCGGGACATTATTGCATTCGTCGAGAACATCAAGATACATTTTATTCTTTATATACATTACAATATATTATATTCTCTACCATATATTGTATGATACGTTGTAAATACAGTATCTATGTATACAATACAATATACAACTGTGACAAGTTGTGACATGACGTGGGTGTGTCGTCTATCTGCTTACGAAAAATTACGATGTAAGTTAATATTTTACATTATTATGTAATATACGACGTGAGTTGAATATTATACAAAAACAATATACATAATAATAAATTAAAGATGTATATATAAATTCTAAACAATTACTATTTATGCATAGGTGTAAGATATTGTGTTAATAGTAATGCGATACTTAAAATATGTACACCGACCACCGACGTAATTGTATTTTGTTTCAACATTTTTTTTTTTCAATTTTTCATTCTTAAAAGAAAATTCATTAAAATATCTATATTTTTTTGGGCTAAACTAGCTGCAGAGCACAACTTTACTACAGCCTCTTAAGCCTCTTATGTTATATACTAAGGATAGTAGCACATAATAATTATTCTGTATATGTGAGCCCGACGCATTGTTCAGGTCATAATAATAAGTGGCATTTGGGTGGGACGAGAGTCCATCTGGCGGATGTAAACATTTTATTTTGCTCCCCTTCCTTAAAAATCAAAAATACAGTTTTATCTCAAATATAATGCATTAGTTCCATTGAATATACGAGTATCTAACTTAAATTAAAAATTGGTAGACCATAATATATTTTATATTTATATCAATTATTTCCGCCTTATTATATACTTATATTTATTAAAAGTTACGCGTCTTAATAATTAATATAAAATTAAAAACTCCTATTTCGCTACTCATAATCGATAAAAACTACCTAAGAATAATATATACTTCCAGACACCAATCGTTTATTTACATAATAATATTGCCTTTAAGAAATTATAGAAAAGCTCGATTGCCTGTATATATTTATAACTGACTAATTTATTTTAAATAAGTATTAAATGCTAAACAAATTATATTTTGGGTATCTATCTGAACTATGATGAGTTGTTGGTTTTTTTTTTTTGGCTAACACAACTGTCTATATATTGTGTATATTTGTATAGATAGTCACATATATAGGTATATATATATATATAAATTTGATATAGTTTAATGCTAGGATACTTGGGGTTTCCACAATTCATATATTAGCAACGTCGTTATATCGTACAGTAGTGTATTATCTATATTATGATTATTATGAATCATCATTAAACACGAGTCTTGTAAATTTTTCCGACTAACTCTATTAAGAATAGGTTTATTGTACATTTGTACATTAAATACGTACTACATGTACCTAATGATACAATTTCTAAGTATATAACTAAACGTAAACTAGTAGCATAATGGTGCACGAGATTAAACCCACGAAGAATTAAACCTTTATACGTAGGTATAATTTTACACACATAATAGATCACGCCGATCACTGATAGTATAATACTACAATACATTATATTATATGTTATGTGTGGAAAATCCTCCCCATACCGAAGAATACGACCGTTCTCTGCAATAATGTCTCGGTGGCATTTCTATTCTTTCTTATACAGCTTAATGGCTTATTGTAATCCGTATTTAAGTACCTTATATTACATTTTACATATTGTAAGTTTCTCATATACGTCAAGTATAACGAATGATCGGTGTCCGCGTATATAAAGTCAAAGTGAGAAAATACTAAAATCAGGAAAAAAATTTGTTGAAATATCCGAAATATTAAAATTGTACTGCGCTAGGAATAACATACGAGGGATCAAACCGATAAACGATTAACAGTTTTTGATTAATTTTCCGTTACGATAGTGATCGACATCACGTAATTTACCCTATAATTTTTCCCCCTTGGGAAAAATAATTTATTACAAAATCGGGTATGATTGATAGAAGTGTATAAACTATATTTATAGTGTTGCTGTACTATTGGTGTTGCTTTTTTTCCTATTAAAAATAATCTACTTTTAATAAATAGGTTTAAAAAACAAAAGTCTATTTTATAAAATGGTTTCACAAAAAAGTCTACTATAGGTACAATTAAGTCTAAATGAATAAAATATTATTAAGCCCCCTCAATAATGTTTAACTATGATTTATGTTATGTAAACAAAATCATGTAGTAATCACAATCTTGTAATACAAATTTTATATTCGGAATGCATTAAAATAATTTATTCAAAATAAATATTTTGAAATCAACCAAAAGAAAAAATTTGTATACTTATTGTATCAAAACTATTTTTCTCAAAGGAATCAAGCCACAGTGGAAGTCGTCAAAAATTGAATGTGCTGACGTCGTTTTATGAAATATGAGTATAAAAGAAAAAACATAAATTATAAAAAATTGAAAAAATTATTATTTATCAGCGGGGACAGTTAGGTATGCCATAAAAATTTAATTAATTCTGTTATTGATAGTTATGAACCATAAAAATGAGATATTAAACAAAGCGTTATTGATTTGTTCGATAGAAAAATAAAATTAGAGAATGGCGTTTTAAATTTTAAAGAATAGTGCAAAGTTTCTTAATACTATTCAACATGATAAAATATATAATAACATTCTTATGATGCAATTATATAAAAGTGAACCATAACAGCTGAATTAAACATTCAGTAGGTATCTAAATAAATGGTAAATAACTAATAATGATAAAGTCCAAAACATAGTTCAAATTTTGGAATATAAGATTTAAAATAACGAAATTGATTCAGGTGATATTCGATTACGAACGGACCTTTTCCCGTAACGTTTTAACTTACCTTTAATCGTGCGGTGTTGCCAGATTAGGTGTTAGTTAATTATACATTTTAAAATAATTAAATAGTAGGTATAAGGATTTTATGTTATCACACTATCAAAACAAATTACATAACCCCACGGTCAAAAAATATAAATCTAAAATTGAATCAATATTAAAAAAAATATAACGATTATAATTTATAAAATCCACAAAGATCTAATTTTATATTTACGAAAAACTGGAAACTTTTAACTAAGAAAAAATTTAAAAAAAAAAAGAAAAAAAAATGTAGAAAAACATTTTAAAAACTATTATTTTTTATTTTTTTTTCAGTTTATAAATTATGTAATAATATTATTAATATTTATACTCCGAAATTATTTTAATTATTTAATATTTTAAACATTTCATATTATTTTATATAATTTTATTTTGTAACGTAGCTATAATGTAAAAATGTATTATTAACATCGAATAGTTTTTATTTAAAAAAAAAAATTTTAATTGAATTCCCGAACAAAATTAAACATGATCAGAAATTATAAAATTGACAACGTAGCCTATAAAAACGTTCGCAATCGTTCTTTTTTCGACTCAAAAAACAAATTTTTTAATAAGCGACATTCGTTCGCAATCTTGTAATAAAAAAAGGTAAAACATTCGCAATCGTGTTACATCTAATTGATACATATTTAAGAGGAAAAAGGTATCTCCAGAAAATTCTTTATTAATCAAAGGGATAAGGAAGATAATATTTTAAAATTGTTTTTTATTTTATGTAAAATATATAATTGGAGAATTATAGACACTTTTTATGTAGATATATTTTTAATTAGTTTTTATTATTTGACCATTTATTGTGCTATAAACCACGAATAAAGATAGTACGAGTATACAAAGTATAAGATATTATCTTTAATTTTGGTACATAGAATTTTATATTTTATGCCATTTTTATAAATTTTAAACTTAAAATATACATATTATTAATATTTAAACAATATAGTGTTGCCACTTGCTACAACATCCTGTTAAATAACATTTTATATAATATGATTTTTGCAACCTACTACTGTACCCCACATCTATAATAAATTTATGTATACCTAGATAAAAATATTAAATTTAATATAAAAGAAATAATAAAAACATGGTCAGGTATCGATGATCAGGAACAAAAGTAAAATAATTTTTTGTGAAACTTTAACTTTAA